TGGGGAGGCAGAGGTGGTGTATCTATGTGTTTGAGGCCAGCCTGGTCTACATAGCAAGTTCCAGGCCATCTGGGGCTACAGGGAGACTTTGTCTTAAAAAGACCAAAAATAAATAAATAAATAAAAAATAAATAAATAAAGTCTCTCTATAAAGATATTTATACTACCAATCTCATCAATAGTAGCAAAATTTTAATCTGGAGCTAGCCTCTCTTTCAATAGAATATACCCTTGAGATGAGAACCACCATCTCCATGTACACAAATATCACTGTTCTAGGTCATCATCAACCACAGAGAATGACTATTTGGCTGATCTAACATCTGACAGCTCTACTTTGTATTTCTATATGGATATAACTATATATATACTATTACTATATATTATAATCTTGATGATAACAGCTAAAAAGTATATACACAAGCAGAATGAAAACATAATCTATACAAAGACTGCTATAAAAAATATTGGGCTGTTGAGACGGCTCAATGGGTAAAGGTGCTTGCTGCCAAGACTGATGACCTGAATTGGATCCCTGGAACCCACATGGTAGAAAGAGAGAACCAACACCTGAAGTGTCCTCTGACTCCATACACATGTTGTGGTATCCATGCATATGCATATACATGTACACAAATACAAAGATGTAAAAATTATTTTAAGTCAGGCATGGTGGCACACACCTTTGATCCTAGCTCAGGAGGCAGAGGCAGAAGGATCTCTGTGAGTTTGAGGCCAGCCTGGTTGACATAGCAAGTTCCAGGTCATCTGGGGCTACAGGAAGACCCTGTCTCAAAAAAGACAAAAAAAAAAAAATTTAATTTAAAATATTCATAAATATCACAGCACACATACCCCAAAAGAAAAGAAAACCCAAATACCCATCAACTCCTGAAGGAAGGAATGAGATCTATAGTGTGTCCATACAACAGATTGCTATCCAGCAAGAAAAAGAAGTGCTGACATACATTGTAACATAGATGAAGCCAAAAAAACATGCTAAGTGAAAGAAGCCTAGGGTGGAGGTATGTGCTGATTATCTCAGTATTTGGAGATGGAGGATGGGCCTGAGTCCTTCATAGACTCAAAACCAAAAATCCCAAAGCAAAGTCCAATACAGGACTACATAAACTGGATTGTTGCAATGGTTATACAGCTCATAAAAACAGTGAATTATGTGCCAGGTATAGTGGCACATGCCTTTAATCCCAGGACTAGGGAGGCAGAGGCAGGCAGATCTCTGTGAGTTCAAGGCCAGCCTGGTCTACATAGTGAATTGAAAACTGATTTTTAAGCATCAGAGTTAATATTTTTGAATTTATTTATTTTTATTTTATGTGTGTGAATGTTTTGCCTGCATGTATGTGCACCAGTATCATGCAATGCCTGTGGAGGACAGAAGAGGCCATCAGAACCCCTGGAACTGGAGTTAATGGACAGTTGTTAAGTGCCATGTGGGTGCTGGGATTCGAACCTGGGTCTTCTGCAAGAACAACCAGTGTTCTTAACCATTGAACCATCTCTCCAGCCCCCAAATTGTAAAACTTTTAAGAAATATTTATGACATGTATGTGTGAAAAAAAAAGGATTAAATTACTATTGTTGGGTTCAAGAATTTCGTTGTATACTGGGCATGGTGGCACAGGCTTGTAATTCCAGGAGGCAGGACTGCAAATTCAAGTCTAACCTGAGCAACTACTTCAGACTCTGACTCAAAAGTTTTTCTTATAATAAAAAAAGCCTGGGAATATCATATAACTCGGTGATAAAGTGCTTGCTTAGCAAAAGAGAGACAGTTTTAATCTACAGTATCAAAATAAAATAAAAGGGAACTATAACCCCAAAGTTTGAATCAGAAATAGCAGTATAAATGTATGACTTATTAAAAAGATCAATACAATTATTGTCTAGTTCTGGCTACAGGAAATGCAAAAAAAAAAATGACCAATCCAGTAGTAGTCAAGCTGTAATATTTTCTTTAAGGTTTTATTTTTTTAAGTGGGGGGAGGGGTTCTTTGGAGAAATTAAGAATATTGGGCAGTGGAGGGAAGTTTGAGATCACACTAAATAGTTTCTTTAAATCTGTAAGTCATAGTGACACTAAAAAGTAAAAGACAGGTCTGGCAAGATGGCTCAGTGGGCAAAGGCTCTTTCAAGGCAAGCCTAACCACTTGAGCTCCATCCTGGGAAGATAAGTAAAGGCAAAAGGAGAGCACCAACTCCAAAGTTGCCCACTGACCTCCACGTGTGTACTACAGCATAGACACACACACATTCATCACACCCACACAATAATAATAATAAAAATAAAGTCTTTTTTAAAGGTAAAAGATAAACTTTTCTGATCACCTTTGGAGACTCTCAGGGAACCAGCTAATTATTCTGAAAACCAGTAAACAGAGGTAAAGTCAGATTGTTTTGCACTTTATTATAGGAATTATCATCAGGGTAGTTAATGAGGTGATCTTTTTCAAGTAAATAATGAAGGAGGATTAATGAAATCTAACTATCATGTTGCAGCATCTAATAAAATAACAGAACTCCAGTAGTTACTAAAATGGCTAGGTATAGCACTAACAGTTGAGAATGGACGCGCCAGGCTGGCAACACCTGAGCACAAAATATGCACATCTTTTATTAATTTATTTTTTAAAATTTTTTGGTCTTTTTTCTGAAGCAGGGTCTCCCTGTAGCCCCAGCTGTGCTGGAACTCACTATGTAGACCACGCTGGCCTTGAACTCACAGAGATCTGCCTGCCTCTGCCTCCCAAGTACTGGGACTACAGGTGTGCACCACCACACCCGGCAAAATATGCACATCTTGATATGCAGCAATAAAAGTTTATGACATGGCAAGACCCCCTCCTACACACACACACACACACACGGTTGTTTTGTTTTAATTTGAATTCTGTTAAGCCTCAGGTGTAGATCCAAACTAGCAGTTTATGGGCAACACAGGGATAGAAGACATTGTTAGACTATCTCCCAAGGATGCTACCAGTACCTTAATAACTTTATTCAGGACCTGAAGTCTTCAACAAATTATACAAGGAGAAGGAGAGATTTAATGCAATATGTATGTATACCTACTTTAGACTGAGCCAAACCAACTATTCTTTTAAAATGAGATCACTAGATACATTGATCTAATTACTTGACAATTCCATAAAAAGATTAATTTTTAAGGCATGAACTTATCGTGGCTTGCTTGAATAAAGAATTCTTATTTTAGTATATTCAGAATATACCAAAATATTCACAGATAAAATTATATAAGGTTTGGAGTTTCCTTAAAAATAACTAGTTGAGGCTGGCGGTGGTGGCACATGCCTTTAATCCCAGCACTCGGGAAGCAGAGGCAGGCGGATCTCTGTGAGTTCAAGGCCAGCCTGGTCTACACAGTGAGTTCCAGGCCAGCTGGGGCTATAGGGGGCCCTCTCTCAAAAAGACAAAAAAAATTTTTTTTTGTTTTGTGGTGTCGGGTATGGAACCCAGGGCCTCCTGCCTGCTGGGCAAGCACTCTACCTACCACTGAGCCACATCCTCAGGATTGTAACATTTTCAAGGAGAGAGAAAAATTATTTCCTCATGGAACTGCTCATGAAAGGATCCACTTCACTGTATCTGTCTTCTCCACTACAACCATTCTAATTAACAGATTCAGTTTTCATCCTTTGGCCCCTAAGTTTCCTACTTTTAAAAGAGATTTAGTTGCTGTCAGGGTAAACAGAGATGTAGTAGGTATTGTCATGTGTCTGTGATAAGCAGTGTTCACATTAAGTTTGTGTCAAAATCAAACAACAACAAATTGTCCTAAAACTCTCTCTCTGTTCATAAGAGTTCAAAGGAGGTAATTAAAGTACTACATGAAGGCTCAACAAGATTCATGTCCTATCCTGAAAGGTGAACTCCCCAAGCTCAGGTCCCTGGTATGCCTATATACATCTCTCCATGCACTCCTAACCCGAGCACTGTAGAATGCCTGCACTGGCTCTAACCAGAGTCCCAACAAACAAGCCTGTGCTCTGGGAATTTCCTTGGGGTTGGGGGGTTGGGGGGAGTGTCTAAGGATCCTGAGACACCTGCTGTTCTGCCTTCAACCAGAAGGTGGGTGCAAACTCTCCAACTAGGGTGAAACATTGGCCACAGCCCAGCAAGTCCCTGCCAGAAGGTCCTAGTCTTCTTTTCACATCTGCTGAAGGAATGCTCCCCTCAGTCCATCATCCTACATGCAGCAATTGGACATTAGAGAGCTAGCTGTCTGAGAAAAAGCCATGCTTGGCTAGACTAAAAGTGATTTAACAAAAATAGGGCTGTTCTTTTTCATAGCAATGCAGACTTTTAAAAAATTGTGCTGCCAGGCATGGTGGCACATGCCTTTAATCCCAACAGAGGCAGACGGATCTCTGTGAGTTCAAGGCCAGCCTGGTCTACATAGTGAGTTCCAAGACAGCTGAGGCTACAGGGAGACCCTGTCTCAAAAAGATAAAAAAAAAAAAGTGTCAACTTAGAAAGGAGTAGCAGGCCAGTCACGTGACTATGTAGATATTTCAAGAAGTCACTGCTTGTGGGTATGATGGCTTCCCAGAACATACACAAATCGCTCCTAAGGTGCTATGATTAACCAGCCTCATTTAGAGATCCTCAGAGATGAGGAGAGTCTGGATCAAAGCAGAGTCTAGATCTTGTATCCTTCTAAACCATCAGACCCAACATCTCCCGACCTCTCATGTTCTGTGTCCCCAAAGATCTCAGGCTTGACTTCACTGAAAAAGCAGACTTCTAATACCAGACAAGGGCAAACCACAAAATAATTATGAAGTTCAGGGTTTAGGATACAATGTCTTGTCTCCAAGCTAATCTTAATTTTCCTTCCCAACTCCCACACATCATTGTTCACTGCCAAATACAGAGAAGGAATACAAATTCTGCCTGGAGAAGCCAGCACAATTTTCTAGGTCATGTAGAAACATAGCAACAAGAACCCCAGACCCTACCTGGAAGTGCAAAATAATGGTCCAGATCAGGCCCAGGGTTAGCTTGGGGTTGCCATCTGTGATGTCATCATTGCGAATATTCACTAGCTTCACCTGAAAAAGAAAGACAAGCCGGCCTCAGAATTCTAGGACTTTTTGTTCTGTGTTTGACATAGTTTCATTATTAACATACTGTTAAATTAATTATTCTAACACTTGTACAGAGTAACAAGCCACTTAAGACAGCTTCATCATCCAAAAGGCAACCTTGCGCTGTTCCCTTTGTAGCAGTTGAATCCTGCCTCATTCTGAATTCCTGACAAGCGCTGGCTCTCATTTTGCTTTTCCAGAATGTCATATAAATGGCATGTAACCTTTGGTATTGAATTGCTTTCTTTACCCACTACAGAGCATAATGCTCTTGAGATTCCCCTCCAAGTTTTTGCATGAATGCTTGCTCCTTTTAACTGCTAAAGAGTATTCTATTGTACAGATGACCTACCCTAGACTTGCCCATTCATCTTCTGAGGAGCTGGAAGGTTATTCCTAGTTTGGACATTTCTGAATAAAGCTCCAATATTCTTGTACAGTTTGCTGTGTGAGCATATGGTTTCATTTCTCTAGGGTAAAATTCCTGGGAGATTGCTGGGTCATATGGTATATATGTAGCTTTATAACAAACTGTCAAATCACCAGCAAAGAAACCTTGTACACATATGGTATTGCAAATTTCTTTAAAAAAAAAAAAAGTTTTATTTACTATTTTTATTTTATGTATATGAGTATATTGCTTGCATGTATGTAAGTGCTCCTGTGTCATGCAAATGCTTGTGGAGGATAGAAGAGAGTGCTGGATTCCCCTGGAACTGGAATTACAGATGGTTGTTAGCTGCCATGTGGGTGGTGGGAATCAAACCTGGGTCCTCTGCAAGAGTAGCCAGTGCTCTTAACCACTGAGCCATATCTCCAGTCCCTGGTATTACAAATTGCTTCTTTATAAAGTCATCAAAACCCTGATTTGTTTTTTCTTTTTTGGAGTTAAAAGAGATGCTACTTCTCCCTCACTCTCTAACTAGCTTCTCACTCCATTTTCCCTTCTTTGTCACGGTTATATCTTCTTGCCATGACTCCCATCAATTTACTCATAAAATCCCATTCCAAGAACATAGTGTGCACAGAGATAGGCCCTCCTCTTCCCTTTGATGATCACTTGTCCCCGTATGCTGGAAACTGAGGGTTATTAATTAAGACAGCCTTTTCTGTCACTTCCTCACAGAGTTCCTGTTTAACTATGACAGGTTCTTCTATCTCTTCTACTGAACTGAAATCTATTTCTAAAAAAACCTGCCTTCCTAGTCACCACTCACTAACAGTCTAGAGTTGGTGTGTTGGCAGTTACCAATCAGTTAATATTCCTCAGTCCAATTTCTATTAGGTTTTCCCTTTCATTAGGATGTCACCTCCCTTGGCTAGATCACTCTCTAGTAACTTCTTCAGGGACCTTAGTACCTAACTCTTCTTCTACCTTGTCATCTGTCATCCTTCTTGCAATTTAGCACACACACTGGTAACTAAAACAAATATCTGCAGTTTGATTGCCTTTTCAATCCTAAAGGTTACCACTGTACTCTGCTTTGATCACCTACACAACTACAACATTTCTGGAGAGATGGCTTAGCCATTAAAGGCTCAGGCTCACAACCTAAACATCAGAGATTTCCTGCCATTCTGAGACTACTAAAGTTCTCACTTGCCTACATTTTCCTTCTATAGTAATCAATTCTACTCTTTGTCCCTATTTGCACTTCTAGCTAATCAATTCTTATTTTATCTTGAGGTACCCTTGAGGTTTCCCTAACTCAAAATATAGACATTTAAATATTGCTTCTTCCTAAATATACCAAGAGCCTTCATTTCTCCTACCATTCACTATTACACTATTATATTATTATTATTACTATTATTATTATTTTATGTC